GGGTGGTGGGTGAAAGGGACAAAAATGGCAATTAGAAGAATTTTCTCTTTCGCCTTAGTGAGGTTTTGCCAAAACCTCACTAAGGCGAAAGTTTTCTTAAAACAAACAAACGACAAAGCAAACAAAACAAACAGCAAAAAACCCCATCCCCAAATCTCAGCTTCTAACAGTTCCAAAGTCTATGTCATGGTTGAAATGAAATACAGATTCAAAGCAAATGGACTCATCTCTATCTGCTTGCTTTGCTTTATTCAGGAAGTTTTCATAAAAGCAGTCCCAAAATAGGCAAGGCCATCCTGGAATGCAACAGTGTCCTCAAGAAGTGCGGTCGCAAGTATAGAGGCCATTTTGTTGGAGGAATAAATCCTCAGCAGTGGGACTAGTGGGACGTAAGAATGAAGTCTCAGTTCTATAATAAATACTACATGTTGGAGAATTATGAAGTAGCAATGCTATTTATGCAGAGCAAAGTTTGTGTTTTCAATTGCACCTTTTCTTTCCAACCTAATTTCTCACAGTGCAATCCATTATGACAGAAGGATCTGAAAAAGCTTTTTATATCCTACCAAATACGTACAAGGATAATTAGTTCTCTTTTGTCATTTGTCCGTAAGGGTTTATTATTGTGGAGAAGCTTTTGCAAATTGAAAGAGGCTGCACTGCATTCTGAAGGCAGAGTGTTCTTGGATTTTATTGTGTAGAAGTAATTGAACAGAAAAGTTCAGAAAAAAGGTGAAAATATAATTCACTATGGTCTCTATAGGAAGATCATATTACCACATCTTAATTATTTTTAGACCAGCATTTTATAATCACATTCCTCAATGTTAGGTCACATAATGTACATGAAGCTTTATACTAGAGGGAAGTCAAGGCAAGCTTTGTTTTCTACAAAACTTATAACCAGATTTTACCCAGTAAATGTTATCTTCCTAATTTTTAGATGCTTTCACAAACAGTGTGGAAACAGCCTCAAAAGGACTTAATTCAATATGTGTTACATTACTTTACATGACTTCCCTCAAACACTGTCCAAAAGTGGGCTTAAATACTGACCACTACTGTTAAGGGATCTGATTCCTCATATAACAAGGGTGCTGGGTTTCAGTTTGATATTGCTGTTACATTCCACACTTTCTGCTAATATTCAGTTGGTCTGAGAATTAAAGAGTCACTGTCTTATGTGCATCGTTGTTCCATTACCCCTATTCCATTAGCTCTGCCTTTAAACTTCACGTCTTGTGGAAGCTGCTATAGTCAGTCAAGTGTAAACATTTCACCTTCAATTTACACCTGTGGCTTTCTGGGAGTTCTTAGGTTGGTGTTCTATTTTTTGCTGTTGCTGATTGGTTGATTTTTGTTTGTCTGTTTGTATCTTCTGCCTTATAGACATGAGACAGTTCTGTGGAATTTGGAAGAGCATTATCCTTCCTTCTACTAACCTATCCTGACATAAATTGTAGTGTATATTTTGAGGTAAGTTTCTCTGAAGATTTCTGAAACCATATAGTTATTCTTCCATGTAAAGGTCTCAAAAGATAAAGGGGTGGACCGTGCTTAGTTTTGAAAGGCAGAGCAGTAAATGGCAAAAAACTCACTGTGAAAATGAAATTAGAAAATGAAAGATGTAATCTCCGGATCTGGGAGCAACAATTTCAATTCTTGCACTGTCTTACAGTTTCTGTGTGGCAAATTTCTTAAGATCTTTGTACCTCAACCTCCAGTCTACGAAATGCAGTAAAGGATTTCACCTCAGAGAGGTACTGTGCAGATAAACTTATTGTCCACTGGAATACTGTTACGAATAGAGGTTGTTGAAACTGTTCAGAAGAGTTTCTGTTGCCTCTGTCCACATTTGTAAGTCTGAGTGGTACAGAGTTGAACTGAGAAGTACCATGGCCCTGTCCGTGGCTGGTGTATACCTGCACTGGGTAGAAATATTTAATGTAGCAGAGATTAATAGCTGCATCAGTGGTAAGCCAATTTTCAGACAACCCCTTCCTCTCAATCTAAAATAGCATTAAAAGATACAATTACAAACTTTCAAAAAACATCCTGGGATATTACTTTAGAATATATCCATAAAACACTTACTTAATACCATCTAGCGATTGGTACAGAGATTGTCTAAAACACTTTCCTGCCACAAAGGCTGATGCCCATGCTAGCCTCAAACTGCAAAAAGTCATTTCAGTTAGTAACTTTATCCATCAAATCTGAAGTTTTAACAAACATGTATATCTTTCTAAGACCATTAGCATTGTTCTTTAAGGTTTGCCTATCAAAAGTGCTTAGCTAAATGCATAGAAAAAAATATATTTGTAATAAAACCAATATATATTTTAAAACAAAACATTACATGCTTTTCTTCATGTTTTAAGTCTCACACTTAACCCAATTATCCTTAAAACCATTTTGTTTTAAATGAAACAATTTTGCGACAGTCTTCAGCAAATTAAATCAGGATGTTAAAAAATGATAATTATTTTAGAATAGATATTGCTCTGCTATTTGAAACATCCTAATAAAAACAGAAAAATTCAAAGATGAATCAGTCTGTCAATGTGCAAAGTTTTATAGTTGAATTATAAAGACATGGACACCAGGTCTTTATTATATGATGCCTATCACAGAAACTTAACTACAACTGTGTAAGCCACAGCACTCTAACGCAGCACACAGATAAAGACTTACAGTGGAAAAAGAGAAAATCCTTTATATTTTGAATGTAAATGATACATCATTTTGAGGCCCTAAATATTTCCTATTACAGTAGAACATCACATATGAAGCACTGAAGTTATGCATTTTTCCTGCTTTCAGTCTTTCAATCCCTTCATTTATACTGAAAAATTGCAAATCCTTTATGCATGAAGCATTGTAAGTGTGTAAATATTTTTTGAAGGGTTTCTTAGGAATGAAGAAGCTTTGAAACAGTCTGTGATGTGATCATAACTTGTGTCAGTTATGAATTCTCAGAGACTGAAGAGTTGTTTTAAGCAAACTGGATTTTGTTCCTTTTTGATATTTAAAAAATATATCATGAAATTGAAAGTAATGTAAGATAGCAGCTTTTAATTTCAAATCTATTTGTTATCCTGATTCGTGCACAGGAGAAACTGTTAGGTCTAATTGCTGTTAAGTATGGAAAAACAGTCAGTCCATGCTTGCAGAATGGATGGAATAGCGTGGCAATATCTATTCACATTACTCACGTATATATATGCCCCAAAGCAAAAACATTCACATCAGCATTAGTTTCCTTGTCCCTCTTTCCCAATCCAAATCTAATTGCCTATGTTGTAATATAATTGCTTCTTCCAAGCTTTTGTATTTCATTAACTACTTTCAAAGAAAAGATGAACTTGCAAGTTTGTTCCTTGTCAAAGGACAGAAAATAGACAATTTGAGTAAGTTTTTAAATGAAAGCTGTGACTTTCAGGGAATTACATCAGTCTAAGCAGCTTGACTGAGGTAGAATGAGATGCTGCAAGATGCCTGCGATGATCACAAGAAATGGCAAGACTATTTTGAAATCTTCCCAAAAACTAACAGTAAGAGAAGCTAATACCTCTGTTGCTCTTTGTATTATAAAAAGCAAATATCTCTTCCACTAAATTAGGCCTCCAGTCTGAATTGGACTACCCAGGCTCAACATTTGTGAAAGCCTGCACTGTCTTTGTTGTCTGTTGGCTTTGTATCTCTAATTGCAGGAATGAAATAGTAACAAAGGAGAATGGTGTAGTAATGGAGAGTACACAGTCATGAAAGGCATTATAGAAATGCAGGTTCTGACCAGAAGAATGGGCATTTGATGGCATCCCATCTGAGAACTAACTTCTGATTTTAGCAATGATCCTGGCACACTTAGAGATGACTTCTTTTTTTCATATAACCACATTTTCAAAAATTTTATTTTGGTTTTAATGAAGAATGCCTTTGTGATTCAGTCCACCATGTTGGACCAAATGGGATGGGAAAGAGCAGAAATAGAAGGAATAACAGATTGGCAAATTGAGAATAAACCTAATCACCTCTTGGGCAGATGACTGAATTCTAGAGTTGTAGGCACATACTATTGTTAACAAATATGATATTGAAAAAGGATTTTGACTTTTACTGTCAGTTGGTATCACAGTAAAATTTGGAATGAATATCAGGAAATAAAAAAAGAAAAAGCAAAAAAACAAGCAGAGGCCAATCCCTGCTGAAAAAAAAGAAAAAAAAAAGTCAAAAGGAGGAGAAAAATTCTGATTTTTTCTGTCCAGAAAATTTGTTGATATAGTTATTACTCTACTCATTCAACTGAAACAGTATATGTTTTCTTCAAAGTGTAGGAGGTCAAATATTCTGCCTACAAAGAATCTGCATGTGCTGGGAAATCTAGTAAACTTCACACACATGGTGGGTTAGGCACTCCTGGTTCAGTAGGCAATGTTTCTGGATTTGGAGCACAACACCTTTATATCAGCAGCCATTTGACATAAACACAACAAATTTCAGGAAATATTAAAGAAAAAAATAAAGTAAATTCACACTGACTTTCTCAGTCAAATTAAAATATACAACAGTATAGCTATTAACTCACAGCAAGGAACCTGCAATGGCGGATGATTGCTTGAAAACAACAATCCCTTCAAGGTTGATTAGAAACAGATCAATTAAAAGTCTCAACATACTTATAGTTGAAGATTCAAAACTGATGGTCTGAAGCAATATGAAACATCTTGCAGTGAGTTCAACAACCTTGCTAGTTTACATTCCCATGAATAAAGTACTATGCAATGCAGTTTCTCCCTATTTATAGAAAATTGCCAATTCAAAAAACATTCAAAGTTGACAGAAGCAGGAAAGAACAATATTTCAGCAATTTTATATATGTACCACAATTAAAAAAGTTAAAGCCATTATAAATTAATTGTGATAACTTCAGATTGGCATGAGTCATATCCCTGAAGAGTAAAAAATAAATAATAATAATTAAAACAAAAATGACTTACTTATTCCATGCTTGCCTAAGGTTTTTAGGGCTGTACTGTGTAAACCGTTCTGTAACAAAAAAAGAAGATGTACATTCAATTATCTATGCTAAAACCAGTCATTTTTTATTTTTTTAAGTATAGTTATTAACCCTCAGTTTTCACCATTTTTATGCAACTACAGCAGCTCAAGTCCCTACATACGGAAAGAAAAAAAACACAGAAGCAATTGCCATGCAAACACAAAGTTCTTATAAAAAAAAAACCAAAACAACCCAAGATGTCATGACAAAAAATTCACTCACTGCAACATCACCACAAGTGGAAACTGTTAAAATATTTTCAAAATACTTTTGATTGCTAGGGAAAAAAAAAAAAAAAAAAAAAAAAAAAGAAGAAAAAAAAAAGATGCCTGACATCTAAAATTAGTTTTATTTTTCTTAATCATGAATGCAGTTCCCTGTGACCTGTCACGTTTTCATGGTTCCCATGAGGAGTTAATGTGGGGCTGTGTGATGCGCAAAACCTGATGGCTACATAGGAGTTCACTTTCTAAAGAACACATACAAATAACCAGCAGAGGCAACATGTTGGCAGCTTATTCAGATGTAATTACTTTCCCTCCCAGATCCATGAAAATCCTTGCTCTGCATTAGGGCTCTTGTTGGCTAAGAATGATGCTATGAAAACTGCTGCAAAATTGAAGAGCCCACACTCGGCTAATGCTTAGAACAGGAGCTAAACGCCTCTCAGTAAGGAACATATGCTATTTGGCTGGAGAATATAAAAGCATTTTCCACGAAGCCTTATCACACTACTCACTCTGGCCATTTGCCCAGGCATGATGTCATTAGGTGCCCTGAATAAACTCCACATTTACAAAATATTCAAAAAGAAACCCACAAAAACATTTAATTTTGTTTCTACTCTACTGAAGAGAATGATATTTAACAGATGTACCATATAGTTACAAGAGTATTTTTACATACACATCTACAGAAACAGGCTAGGCAGAGAATGGCTTGATCATCAGAGGGCTGGAGCACCTTCCCTGTAAGGACAGACTGAGAGAACTGGGGCTCCTCATCCTGGGGAAGAGAATGCCTGAAGTACTGGAAGAGAGCCCATGGAAAACTGGGGAAGGATGTTTTATAAGGGCATGTGGTGACAGGCTGAGGGAAAATGGCTTTAAACTGGAAAGGGGTAGATTTAGATTAGATGTCAGGAATAAATTCTTTACTGTGATGAGGGTGAGACACTGGAACAGGTTGCCCAGGGAGTTTGTGGATGCCCTCAGCCTGGAGGTGTTCAAGGCCAGGCTGGATGGGACTTTGAGCAACCTGGTCTAGACGGAGATGTCCCTGCCTGTAGCAGGGGTGTTAGCTCTAGGTGACCTCAGAGGTCCCTTCTAACCCAGGACAAAGAAACAGTCTGCAGCATGGCAGTGCTGTGTACTGGATGAGGCTGAGATGCACATTAGAGTTCAGCTAATACAGTGCAGATCCGCACAGTAGTCTGTGTTGGTGCAGAGAAGTGCTTGGTGGAATGAGGACTGAACTGGCTTGAAGAATCTCTGAAGAGCTAACTTAAATCTATGGAAAGACAGCTCTTGATTTCACGCCTCATTCAGGTTAGGTCAGATACTGGCAGAGCTACATACACATTATTTTTTAAAGGACTGACAGGTTCATTCTAAGCAATTTAGCATATTTTCACAGTGAAGCACTGAGTCATATTTCGCCGAATTGCTTATAGGTCCAAAGATCTGTTTCAGCTCTGCAAGAAAATGAAAAACTATTGCTATCCCAGATGAGATTTTACTACACAACTGAAATATTGGAATCAGTTATGTAAATTCTGGGCATACACAGTCAAAATAAACAAACTTTTCAAAGTGATCTTCCTTCTTTATATTTTCTTTTTAAATAAGTACCTTATTCATCATATATGTATCAGGCAGTGAGAGGGGAAACTAGGAAGAACACAGTAAGGGTGAAGCCCTCTATAAGAGGCCAATGTCCTGAGTCCTCCATTCATTTGCTGTGTGACTGCAAACCATGCTTTTCTTCAGCACTGATATCAACTCTTTCCCTCTACTTTAAAGCAGATTAGAAACTCCTCTCTTTAAATTCTGCAGAAGAAGGGAAAACACCGATCGAATAAAGCTCTCATTTTTCTCTACCAAAGTTTTTGGGTATGCCTCCAGCCAGAATTTTGTTAACTTTCACAGAGTAAATGGGACTGCTGTGGCAATTAAGCCAGTCTCCTGTACATCCCAGCTCTTAATGTTTTCTTTAAGTAATCATTCTTCAGAGAATAAAAAACAGAATAACAATTATTTTGATTTATAGAGGAGCTACAACAGTCTTGTCACTGATTTTTTCCACCATGATCCAATTTTTTAAAGTCCTGAATTATGGCAACAAAATAATTGACAGACAACATGCCTGTCAATATCAACCTGGTAGCCACAATGCAGACAAATAAAGAGGTCATTGCCTCCTTTTATCTGAGAATCTCCTTTCTGTGTCCAATTAATGAGAACTGGAATTCAGTCTCACAACTACATCCCTAAGTTTTCCTCTGAGTTACTTTTCAGCATGAACTACTTTCACATACCTACATGGATGCCCCGTCTGTTGTTACTAGATGGATTTAACACAACTGGATTTAAAGCTATGCCTGTGACTGTGACCAACAGTATGAAATTAAATTTTATATTTTCAAGCATTCCATAACATTTTGGTATTTATTTTTCAGATGCTCCATAGATTTGATAATAAAAATTAGTAATATCAGTTGGTAGATTTTGACTGTATGAGATCCTGTAATACTGCAGAGTTACCTTGAATGCTCCTCCAAAAAAATGTTGTTTGACACATACTGCAAAAAGCAGCAGAAGAGGTGGTCAGTCCAACTTTACAGAAGGAACCCAAAACTTATTTCCATTCCCTCAGAACCATAAGGCAAATCATCTCAAGTAGGAGTTCCCTATAAACATTTGCATCATCACCCACCCATGTAATCATGCCCCAGTGCAGACAAGCCACTGTCAAGTCTGCAGAGCACACTGTCTTGCTGTCATAGGTGCCACTCTCATCAACATCTGAATTAAAAAAAAATTGAAAATTTGCACATTTGCAGATTAATACTTGATTTAAGGTATTTTTGAATCTTTATAGTTCAGATATTTTGTGATTACAATTATGAAATATGCTTGTTTTGAATAAAAACATTGGAAGACAAACACGGTAAGCTCTAAAATACAGAGTAAAAAGCACAATTTTAATTTACTTTATGCAAACACTTAAATATTTGTAAATCTTCTGGAAGCAAATTCAGGAAACAAATATTGATCCTCTGATTTTTTATCCCAGATACATACCATCATCATCACGAGCTACCATGTCTCACTGTTAAAGAGCTGGCTTTTCGCATGGATGCTATATTTCACTAGCCAAAGGAGATTTGTCATTATGTGTAACAAAAGAAGGGAGACCTCACTTGTTATTTAAATCCCATAGCACCTAGAAGTGTTCTACCTTTTGCTTCTTAGAAGACAAGCTAGCTAAATTTTGATTAAGAAGTTGTTCATAATCAAACACAGTGTAAAGAGTACCTTACACAGGACTGCAGAAGCAAGAACAAAAATACAGTATTAATATTCCTTAATGTGACAAAGTACCAATCACGTGATCATCCTGTAACATACCATTTACTCTTAAGCATTTAACAGAGCACAGACTGTAGCACAGCTGTAGGCTGACATGCTACATCCACACCTCCAGATGACCACCCCAGAGACAGCATTCACTGTTCTGTCAGACACCAAAGCCAGCCCACTGGGAGATGCTGGGTACACAAACATTCTTCCTGCAGCAAATGAATTTGAGTTTTTATTTGTTTCAGATCTTTTAGCATAACATACTCAATGCCTCTTGTGTCACAGAGGATTTTACATCTCTGCCCCACAAATGAGTGCTACTGGAAAGAATAACAATCACAAAATGGAGCTAGAAGTGCGCAGCCAGAGGTAGGAGAGGGAGATTTCTTGAGCTGGTTAATATGACAAATCTGATGCATTGAAAAGCATGCTTTCATGCAGCTGCTCCCAAGCTATTTTCAGCTTGAAGATACAGAAAACTAAAGAAAAAAATAAATAAATAAAGCTGGTGCCAGAAAGCTTATCCATTACACCCAGCTGCATTTAGTGGTTTTAGTAATAAAATATTTCTACAGAGCTTGCCTCTTACCCTCTTACTTTCTTTTTGTTTTCTTTAGACAATTGCTCTAAAGCAATTCTGTTATATATGCATATTTGTGTGCCCACATATATACCTATGTGCTCTTCACTGCAAACATCATTATCTGCTCGATAAACACACTCCATCTGACAGCCTTGCATCAAGGGCAGGTTCAAACAGAAGAGAATTTCAGCAGAACTCACTAGTGAGCTTATTAGCAGACCACTGAAGAGCTACTGGTCTGCTGTGAGAATTGAAAAAATAAGCACTTGCATTTTAAGTAACATAAAGCACAATGAGGTTTAATTCTCCTTTATCTGTCAGAAAGACACACGAACTATTGTACCTTTGGCACATTTGCCTTGCAAGAACATAGAATAGGCAAGAAGAGCTACAGAAGAATTAGAAACAGACTACATTTTGATTTTTAGCTCCTTTTTAACACTATTGATAATCAGCTTCTAGTCTAAACCAAAGAATTTAAAATGCAGTTTGACTTCAAGGCATTTTTTATGTTGCTAATCAAAACATGCTGGCTAATATGCATTCCTTGATTAACGTTCTTCTGTATTTGAAACCAAATGTGATCAGCTTAAATGCAAATATTTAAATACCACCATAATTAATATTTTGAAAAGTCTATTGCACAATTTCTTTAAAATAGTTTTCTTTGCATTTCTTTAAATTAAATCTAAAGTGACTAACATTGCATTGTGATATGTAAAACTCAGATACGCTATTTTTATTAAAGATTTGATCCAAAAAACACTTACATTATGTGAGCTAAAGACATGAAGACGTGTCTATTCTGAAGAAAAACTGTCAA